TCACGTACCTCTGTTCTAAATTAAAACAAGCTTCACGATTCCATGCAAACTCGGCGCTGGTTAATTCAAATTAATCCAGACACACGTTGTTTCCTCTGAGCACACGCATAAATTACTTAAAATTTTATGAAAAAATTCGACCACTCGCCCTGCTCATATTCATCCCCATTTTATTATTATACTTGTGTCAGTTTCATTTTTCCATCTTAAATCCTATTCTGCTTGTTATGCTTGCATCCCATTCTGTTTGTTATTTTAATAAATTCAGATAATGAAAATTACACTTTTCTTTCGAAATCAAATGGATTCTGTAAACTTCTTAACATGAAAAATACAATTGAGTTCATTAAACCCTATATTTTACTGTAGTAAAAATTTTTTGCTGAATCTCTGAAACATATTTAAAGAATGTATCTAATATATTACATCGATTTTGTCTTACAATTTTCTTATTTATCTTCTCAGTTTCAAATATGTCTCGAAATTTCTTGTCATTTTCTCTTAAACTTCACTTGGAAAAGTGTTTTCGTGAGCCACTTCACCTTCACTTCTAGCTTCAATCACCTTCCTAACTGATTATATCATCGATTTACTGTCCTTCGTAGGAAAGCCACCATTCATGTCAACATTTCTGAACCGGAGCTAGGATTTTGCTCGATTTAACAGCATTAATACGACAAAAACCGCGAGGGGCTACCTGTTGATATACTATTTCGCGTGGCGCAACGCTGTTCCCGGTTGCCGTCGTGCAGGCGCGATTCAACCGCGCATTCAATTTGCGATTCGACGCGCACGTCCAAGCCTCCGACATGAATTCAATATCCGTAATAATATCCGGACGTGTTTCGATACCGACGACGCCGATGTGTTTCTCACCAGCTTTTACGTTGAAAATGAAATAGCACCGCTAGAAAAAGGGACCGGACTCTCTTCAGCCGCAATTATTGGAAATTGAATACCGCACCGGGCTGACTTGGTTTATAGCGAAAAAGAAATTCTACGATCAGGATGAGGTTGCAATATCGCTTGAACGAATATCATTTAGAAAATGCTATTGTGTATGGAAGATCGTCAATTGTTCTGATGCAAGTCAACGTTCTCATCATCAGTGCCAATCGAACTGAAAAAATATTTCCCTAAAAAATGAATATTTCCATAAATCAAATGGGGAAGCGTAGGATCTCTAAAGAAGGGATAGAGAAATGTGAGAGTGTCGCGAAAGGAAGGTAGGAATTGGCGAGCGACCATAGTGGGGTGGGTCAGGGTTAGTGTCGAAGGTTAGGCTGTCCCCCTACCCAGAATCCCCATGAGTTCAGCGCCAGGGACAGGGGTAAAGGGGCGTACACTGTAATTGGATCGATATTTTACTAGCTGCACAACTACTCGTACGATTTTCGTACACTTTCGTCGCACTTTCTGAACTTCCTAGCTCTCTTACCGAACCTGCCCCACCAGACTTGCTCACAGAGATCCATCCAATTTGCATACTACACGCGGAGTCTTCTCACACTTTGCAAACCGGATTTAAGACCATTTTTATTTTGTCTGCGAGCAGTTGATCCGATGCATTCTTTGAATCATTTTTTTAAATGTGCTCTTTTTATTAATTGCGGAATTGGAATTTGTATTTTTAATTTATTTTTAGGGTAATGCTAAAATTTTTACTTGTCAACAATGTTTCATTAATTCTCAACCAAAGTAGAGTTTTCGGCCGGATGACTGATGTTACTCTCGTTAATTAGCGAGGATCTCGCCGTCGAAGCTGATTTAGTAATTGAACCGCGTCCAAATATTAGGATCACTGCGAGTGTCATCGCCGATGCGCCATGTCCGACTTTAATAATCGATTAGTCGTGCCGCAACGACGTGCAGAGCAAGCTTGGTCGTTCTGCTGGTGACACACGGCCTACCAGGCTGCTATTGTCAGAAGTCGGCCGTGCGTGTTCCAGATGACAACGGTGATTAATAAATCGCTGTTTTCGGGTACACGGTCTCGACTGCACTGACACGAGCGATGTACTGCCCGATAGATCAGGCCTAGGATACAGCAACTATGATCTGTCGTTCATACAAATCCTCGACAAACTCCAAATACGTCAGAATCCATACATCGGAATACCAACAAACTAGATTTCCCATAAAAATAATTACAACATTTTGTATTTCTAAAAAATACCTCGCAATTCTTGCGGAGCTCCTGGTCCAAGATTAAGAAATCTCAACTACAAAAGTAAAAACTCGGATCTGAAAAGTGTCATAACACATTTCAAATGTACAAGTGGAATACCAGTAAACTTAACAGGCCCGTTATGGAGCTGCGAGACCGAGAAACGTGGTAGGGAAACGACAGGTAAACAAAAGAGGTTAGAGGGGAGCCGAGAGGGCAGACCTGGTCGCAATCGGAATTCTCAGTTGTCTTTTTGGGGCCAGCCAGGCCGCAGTTGCGTAGAAAGTCGCAGACCCAATCGTTCTGTCTTGTCTCGCCATTGGTCATCGTTTCAAGGCCTATGGATCGCCATGGTGGGGACGGTTTGGGCAACTGCGTCGCACCATACGACTCGTCTCCTCGAAACGCTCGTTCCACGTCGATTCGCCAACGTTCCTGTCCGCTGGTTTTCACGTTTGGGGATTCCCGCCGCGTTTTAGTTTCGTTTCGACGCTGTTTGGGATAGCCTAGATGGCGCAGCGATCGCTAAATGCATTTGTCGCGGTACGTACGATTTATCGAAGCTGGGAAATCTACTTTTGTTAATTGTTACTGTGGTTTTATAGAGTTTTTCTTGCTGTTAGATCTCAGTGAAGTGTGATTCAGATTGAAGAATTGCTTTTTAAAAATCGCCACCGTGGTTCTATGGTTTCATCGCTGTTATTGTTTCCAGTGAAGTGTACAACGAATGGAATTAATTTCTCACAAATAAAAATAAAATTCTCTTCTCTGCCACTTGTTGAAATAATTGTTTCAATTTCAAGATAAAAAGCTTCTGCAATTGTGATTTTAACGCAATTTTGAAAATATTGGTTTCAGGTAGTTTGAAGTTATTTTTACAGTGAAGATTCGTGATTCGTGATAGTTTCAAGTGATTTAAACACGTTATAGTGATATTTTCGAATACCATACAAGAATCTTCTCTTTTTCTTTTGAAAAAAAGCGTGTTACAGTGAATTTTCAAGCTGAAAGCTTCTTGAAAATAAATAAGCGAGAGGTAATAGTCTTTCATTTCGAATTACATAGAATATTTTGCTTGGCACAATGTGATTACAGCAATTTATTGCAGTTTTAACTGTTTTTACGGACGAATTGTAAAAAGCGATTTGCCCACGTGACCAACAACGACTTTCACTCGTCGTTACTTGATAAAAAGGCGTCCTACTACCGACACAGAGCATCCTATCAATTTACAATTGCATTGTTTCAAGCGACGTGTCTCCGGGACGCAACTTCTGCGTTGTCGTAATCCTCCTCTTTCTCAATTGCTCAATTTCCACGTGACTCTGCCGCGTTGAACAACCGTTTGCCCTGTCAGATGCATCCCGACCCTCTTATTCTCTCACTTGAGACATTTAAACCACTTGCCATATCGATGTCCTTGTATTTTAAAAGTTTCAAACTGTATCTTAAAAAAGTGGTTTAAAAAGTAAAGCTACGTTTGTCATTAATATTTTCAAATTTCCTGCTATTTTTTAATCGACGTATGGCTAAATAATTTCTCTCGATGATTCATCGATTTATTTCGAAACTAAGTTGAGCGAAAATTTATTTCGTCAATGGTTTCTGTAATTTTTACTAATTTCAACTAGAAATCTTTATTATAAATTTTTGTTAAATTAAGAATTCTATTCACAATTTCCTGACAATTTTCCCCGTAATTTTCCCAATCTCCTAATCTTTCAAACTGCCCTGGTCTTTCTTGTTACGTTTCGTTTCATCTTCCTAGTCGCAAATATCCTCTGCGATCGCATAATTCGGTGAACCGTCGCGATTGTCACGAGCTTGCAAGAACTTTATTGGCACTGGTGGTCGCTTTTCAGGCGACTGAGAGTTTAGATCAGAGGACCAAGAATATCCAGCTCCCGTTTCATTGCTGCTCGTCCGATCGTTCAAGCGTATCATTACCCGCGATTTCTCCACGCAGGAGGAAATTGCGTGGCGTCGATCCAGAGCTGTTCTGAAGTTCCTCTTAGACGTAATGACGTGTCGTGTGCACTCTCTTGTACAGTATATATACACATTTCTTCTGCAACCTGTAATTTCCAAACAATTATGCTTTTTTCCATCCGTTTCACCCCTTTTTTACCAATTAATGACGGCTGCTGAATGATTTGAGAATAGAAATTTTATTAAGACAAATTCTATGTTAGAGCGGTGTTGCGTGAAATAGATCGTGTTACGAATTTTTCTATTAATTGCTCGCTAATTTCCTATCAATGTTCCATTGATTTCCACTAATTTTCCATTAGCCCACCATTGATACAGAACAAGCTTCAGATTTTGCCAAGTCAGTTTATATTTATCGACACATTGAGCATCCTGAGAGGCGTAAAATTACACGTATCGCGTCCTCTTCAGACAATCTATTGAGATCCGTTAACGATAAACCGAGTGATGATGTTAATGGACAATGCGGTAGCCGTAACGATTGAAATGCAAATTCTGGGTACACTGAACCTTGACACTTCTAATCTTGTTTTTAGCGCGGGAATTACTATGGTACACTGTTAATTATCTTGTAAGATTCCGTGGCTATGAAAAGTATGAAAGAGACCAGTTTGATAATTTTGTGGCGACCGTAGCTTGCACAGTTAGAAACTCTCCTATTGTACATATTGTTATGGATTCTTCTATTGTACATTTAGAAAAGTACAGATTTTTCGACAAGTACAGTTCCTAGTATCTGCTTCGTTTCTACGATTCGGACAGAAAAGCAATAAAAATTGAATTAATCTAATGAGACATAATCCAACAAGACTTTGACTGACCAAGCTGTTATCTTCTGTTCCAGATACCTCAAGACAGCAACGGACGACGATCCGACTCGACTAGCATGCACCTGGGCCCGCGGTTCGAGGCGCACTTCAAGATGCGGTAGAGGAAGTCCCTCGACGAGAGTCCAGAAAGCAATCGGTGCAACCAATTCGAGTCTCGTCCTTTGTAACCAGAGCATAATCGCGTGCATAATAGCAGTTAGATTAAGAGACTTGGACCCAAGACACGCTCACACCCTACCAAACGTAGGACAAACTTGGGTCTTTCTCTTCCAATCCCCATACGAATCCAAACTCACAGAGCACCCATCGGCATCCAGGGGTCAGAACCCAATTAATCGAGCCTGGGAGCCTCTGACGACGAAATCCACTGCCTTTCAAGCCGCCAGGTTATCGTGAACCCCTTAAACAAGCCAGCCAAACCTCTTCAAACCTCTTCAAACAGCGTCAAAACTCGACAAACCACCTCGAATTTCATCAAAACCATCAGAAAATTGGGAGAAAGGGTTTACAAAAGCTACTAGAATCTCCCTAGGGGACTTTGAGAGGCAAGTGAACAGAGGTGAGCAGAGGACCCGTCACGGTGGCCAGCTTAGTGAGCGGCAACGTAGCGGTGCGTTACGATGAGGCGTCGGGAGTGGTTGGCACGGGGGGTGT